AAAATCAGTCAAGCGGCCAATCTTCAACATCGTAAAGTTTACGACCTTCACCAATTGCCTCTTCTGCAAGCTGATGTTTGGAAAAGGGTCCTTTAGCCGAGCTCACCCTCAGCGATGCTGTACTGGCAGGCTGAGACATTGATGCAGACGCCGTCTTCCCCCTCGTCAGGACTTCCTGGGTACGTCTTTAAATCTTTTTCTTAAGCTTGCAGAGGATCCCATCTTCATTGCCAGTGTTAAATCCTTCGTTCGCGTGCGAATGATGAAGACACATGGTGACACATAACAGACACTTTATTCTCTTTCTTCAACACCCAAGCATAGAACAAAAGACACACATGCCTTTTATATGGTCAGAACCTAGACAGTGCTAACCAATAGGAACTTAGCGTTTTCGCACCTTGCACATGCGCACACGGCTGGTGCCACTCAGTCTGGTCCTGGGCAGCTTTTAGGATGCCCGGGACCATTTGCAACATTTCTGAGCCTGCTGAGTTTCCTCAACAGGCCCAGGACACAACACATACATTTTAGATTTTGAAATTTATTGAGATGTAAACATCTTGAGTGGCCTAGTTCAGGGGTCCCCAACTCACAATCTGTGGACTGGTATTGGTTCGTGGCCTGTTAGGAACAGGTCCACGCAAGTGGTGGGCGAGCAAGTGAAGCTTCCTCTACAGAAGCACAGGATCTAGGTTGCATGTGAAACCAGCCCCCCCCACCCAATCCGTGGAAAAATTATCTTCTATGAAACTGGTCCCTGGTGCCAGAAAGATTGGAGACTGCTGGCCTAATGAGTAAAGAAACTGGGCTCCCACTCGGAAAGTTGAGAATTCAATCCCAGGTAGTGGCAGATGTTTCTCTCCAAGGCACAAAGAAAAAAATACCTGCTGTGAACTTCATGTGGTGTCAGGAAGGACATCCGGCTAGTAAATGCTCAGCTTACAGAGTTGTAAAAAGGGAGATTTTTATTGAGAAGGAAATGTAAAGGTTTTTCTTTTCTTGTGATCTATCCTCTTGCGAATCCCATGCCTCTTCTTCCCTATCTGAAGAAACCCTATATGAGCCATTCTGTCCTGATAACCCACCCATAGGATATATTTAAAATTGTAAGATGTCAGAGAGGCTCCTAATTCCCAGAAGATGATCTTTGCTTGGTTACCTTTTGGAAAGGGAGTCCAAGAATGTCATAGCCCACCCATGAAAATTTCACCAATATATTCACCATTGTGGGAATAGAACCTGAAATATTGATAGACGAGAATATTGGTAGCTCAGTATAGAACTGTGGAATCCTTGGTGCTCTGTGAGCTTGGTGGTTTTCTTTCAGACATTTCATTACCAAACATCAGCGCTGGACCTGATGATATTATTGTTAAGATGGGCAGCTATAAAAATTGATTAAGTAATTTATTTTGGATTAAACTGAATGAGAATAGTAGGGGGAACTCCTCTCACTCAAAGGTATTGTTTAGATAGCCCTAAGGTAAAACAAAGAGTAAAAAAGTTCAAAGATCTTCGTGCAGTCCTTTTCACTGTTTCTTATGGGTTTGTTTCCCATAAATGTTTCCAATTTAAACAGGCTCTTGTTGAAGTATGTTCTATTGATTTTGATTGAATTAATTTTCAAGTAAGACCACTAAAAGGTTACAACCTTCTTTTAATTTCCATTTATGAACCACTTATATTTTGAGTAGGAGCATGTGGGTTATGTTGCTCTTTCCCTAGAGGAGGCTAAGTTATTTTCCTTTCTTCTTCCTCTTCTTCTTCTTCTTCTTCTTCTTCTTCTTCTTCTTCTTCTTCTTCTTCTTCTTCTTCTTCTTCTTCTTCTTCTTCTTCTTCTTCTTCTTCTTCTTCTTCTTCTTCTTCTTCTTCTTCTTCTTCTTCTTCTTCTTCTTCTTCTTCTTCTTCTTCTTCTTCTTCTTCTTCTTCTTCTTCTTCTTCTAGCTGCTGAAGATGGTAATATGCCATTGAATTTTTGATGGTTAATGTTGCTTTTATATGTTTAGCATATAGCTTTGCTCACCTGGCTGAGTTCCAGTTTTGTTTTTCTTATTCTGATGTATGATTATTCTTATTATTTTTGTATGAACATTACCTTCAGGGGGCATTCCAAACATGTATTAAATAAACAAATGATCCATGCATAGTTTTAAATGATCTTTTGCTTAGAAGATCTCAAAAGTCCAATAACAGAAATGGGGGATTGAATAAGCCATCTATTTGGAAGATGCAGATTTTCCTATTACACTCTCAGCAATGTCTGGGCCCCACTTGATTTAATGATATGAAAAGAAAATCGTCATACAGTTTTGCCAGGTTGAAATGGCAGAATCCGCCTGATATTCCATTGCAATAATTATAATGCCCTGAGCACATTGCCATAATAGCTAAGTTCCAAAGTAGTATACAAACAGATTATACTTGGGAAAGAAGCAAACTAAAAATACAAGTAGTTTTCAACTTACAAGAGTTTGTTTAGTGACTGTTCAAAGTGAAAATGGCACTGAAAATGTGACATGACCAATTTTCACACTTATGACCGTTGTAGCATCCCCATGGTCACATGATTAACATTCAGATGCTTGACAACTGGTTCATATTTATGATGGTTGCAGTGTCCCGGGGTCATGTGATCACCTTTTGTGAACTTCTGACAAGCAAAGTGTCAGAATCCAATTATATTTCATTTCTAGCTACCTACTCTGGAAAAAATCCATTTCTTACTCTCTCTGGATTCTGTCATAAAACGAAAAAGGAGGAGGATAAGCAAAGGAGTTTTATTGCTCTCACTTCCTTCATTAAACTACAAAGGATTGGATGTTGATTCTCATCAAGAGGACTGACTATCACAATATGGCCATCCCCTTTCATCTAATCTCTCTGAAGTCTCCCTTTTGCCGGCAGTGAGGGAAAAGGGGGGGGGGAATAATGTAACGCCTGGGATCTGGGAAAAGATGAGGATGAGTGATCGTCACTCAGAAGAACTGTGGGGTGGGACTGCTTGGGAACATTTTAAAACATTAAAGGATGGGAGAGAATTCCCCAGATCCTGTCTAGAATGCCTGCAATCATTTTCTCTTAATAAAGATGCCTGTTGGAAGAGATATTCCAAGAGTTCTGTCTTCTTAAGATGTAAAGTGAGGTGGGTCCTTACACAAAGTCAATGAGGAAGCCAGATTCACTTAACAACCTTGTCCCTAATTCAACAATTGCAGTGATTCCCTTAATAAATGTGGCAAGAAAAGTCATAAAATGGGACAAAACCCATTTAACAACTGTCTCGCTTAGCAACCTACATTCTGGGCTCAATTGTGGTCATAGGTTGAGGACTAACTATGTGTGAATTCAGGAAAGTTGTGTACAACAGTGTTATGCTTTGCATGGAAATTGATGGATGGATCTGGCTTGCAAGATTGTCTAATTCACAAATTGTGACTTTAAGGTGGCTAACATAGGATAGAAAGCACAAAGCAAAAATATTGAAATAAATATAAAAACGCAAAGACCCAGTATGAATTAGGACACACTGCAATGTGATCATTTCCTCAACAATCCTCTTTAAAAAAGGAATGGTAGTATGGTGAAAATTATCCAGCATAGTTCCTTAAGGAGAGGATGGATTTCTGCCTCTTTAAGAGCAGTGGAAACTCAACTCCTCCCTAATATGTACAGATAATCCTCAACTTACAACCATTCATTTAGTAGCCATCCCCATGGTCAAGTGATCAAAATTTGGACGCTTGGAAACTGGCATGTATTTATGATGATTGCAGGGTCCTGGGGTCATGTGATCATATTTTGTGACCCTCTGATTAGCAAAGTCCATGGGGAAGCCAGATTCTCTTAATAATCATGTGATTAACTTAACAAATACAGTGATTTGCTTAACAACTGTGGCAGGAAAGGTGGTAAAATTAGACAAAACTCACTTAACTCTCTTTTTTAGGAACGTAAAATTTGGGCTCAATTGTGTTCAATTGTGCATGCGTTAGAAAAAAACTGAATGAAGAAACACATCAGATTAGCATCAGTAAACATTGGGAAAGTTTGTGGAGGTTCTAAGTCATCCAGGTCATGATTGTTCCAAAGATGCTTTTTCAAAAGGCAACTGGACATTCTTTGTTTTCCTTGAAGATGTTTCGCTTCTCATCCAAGAAGCTTTCTCAGTTCTGACTGATGAATTGAACTGAAGAAGCTTCTTGGATAAGAAGCGAAATGTCTTCAAGAAAAACAAAGAATGTCCAGTTGCCCTTTGAAAAAGCACCTTTCGGACGATTGGGAAAGTTTGCATTAAAGCTATACCTCTAATGGGAAGTGTCATATACAAGTATGTGACATTTTAGTTATTTTTTAAAGACGTTAAAAACAATGGAATGGAAGAATTGAATGCACATGATTTAGACAGTCATCAGTGTTAAATTGATATGCATATCTTTCTGTGTCCAAAACCTTGCAAAACCTCTGGTTGAAGATATGAGAGTATCTAAATGTGAAAAAAATGTTATACGCTCAGTTCTGTACAATGAAGTTGAAAATCCACTCTCCATGGCTACGCTTTTTTATGTTTTTAAGAAATTTTATTGTTTTTAAATTGGAATTTTTCTATTGTTTTGCTGCTTTTATATTGCTTTTAATGGCTTGTGAGTGGATCAGAATCATATATTTGAGTGGGTGGCTGTATAAATTGATATAATGCATAAATCAATAAGAATGAACACAGAAAATGCATTTCCAAAATTCATTTTCTGCTTGTTCATGAAAAATATGAAAAAGGCATAGATTTGGAGGCTTGGATTCAAGACAAGTAAATAGCCCTCACTTAGGTAAGCTAGGAGGCAATTTTGAACATCCCTAGGATTGGCTTAAGGTTCTTTTCATGATGTTCCTAATTTTAGTTTCATTTGATGTTCCTTCATTGCTTGTTGATTTTAGGAGCAAGAAATGTGTTCTGATTCTCCCCCCCCCCTCTTTCTCTCGCTTCTATCTACTCATTTAAGTCCCTGGAGGCATAGCTTCAGAGTCCCTCACATTTACCCCCCTGGAGGACATGATTTTTCTGAAATGGGAGGAGCCAGTGGAACCAAATGGTCTCATAACACAATATGAGGTATGCCATAAGATCATTTTGGGGAAGTCAATATTGTGCCTGTTTTCTCCTTATCTCGCTTATCCTTCTGCCAAAGTCAGAAAAAAAAGGTCCTGTTAATGCATTAATTGACATTTTCTATGAAGATGAACAATAGCCTTGAACTATAAGTGAATTCTTGCTTAGAGATGTCACATGCATATGCTATAACAATGATGATCTCCGGAGAGACACTCCATTCTAAATGAAAGGTAAGACAGAATGCCAGTTTTAATAGGATGCAACTAACTTGGGTACAAATATGTATCTTACATTCCAGGTTAGTAAAGTATAGACTGAAGTAATGTTGGATATGGTTATTACCTGGATAGCCAAATCAACAGAAAATCCCAAGGAAGTTAATGCCAAAGCACTTTTGTATTGTGGCCGAGCATCAGAAGTCAAGCTTAAATTGAATTTACATTGATAAAAATTGTCTACATATTGGGGCACCAATTTAGTTAAATATTTTATTTTGTGTTAATGGGTAGACAAATGAAATATTGCAGCCCTCTTTCTTTTGTTCTTTTATCAAGTGGTCTTTCTGAAGAATTGTGAACCAATTTGTGATCAGAAGCAATGCTTCATCAGTTTTGTTTTCACCAGCTGTCATTGCTCATTTCAGCCTGTTAAAACAACAACAACAAATATAACACAATCAAACCTCTTATCCAAGCATCATCAATATTCAACATACCCAAGTAATGGCATCAATAGAGGATTACCATGCCAAATTATACTCATTGAAGAACTTGAAAAAGACCTAGACTTCCATATTTCCCATCTACTTGCCACACTCCTTTGGAATTCTGGGAGTTGTAGTTCCCATGTACCTGAAGGATGTCTGGCTGCTCAGTCTTTGATGCGGGTAGCCATTTATGATGAATGTTTCCTGAATGTTGAGCTTCAGAAATGTCAGGTGCGGAAGACCAAGTCTACACATGAAGATTCAATTAAACTGATTTATAAAACCCTACGGACAGGAATTTTTTGATAAGGGTCAATGGTACTCAAGGGGGATTAGATTTAGTTCTCTTGTGGGCACGTAGAAATTTTAGGCTGATCTCCCTTTTTTACACCAGCCCCAGATTTTGCCATTCCTTCTCATAAAAAGGATCCCTTAAGCTGTAATGCCAGGTAGGGACCTGGGAGGGTGGGCAGAAACTGACTTTCAGTTTCAAGGACTTGCACAATGATTGGGCTGGGCTTTGTCTGTCAGACAAGTGCAGCAATAATTGATTGGCTTTTCTGTATTCTCAGCCAGGCGCCAAACAGAGAGTGTTTTCTTTGCTTCATTATTGTTGGTGGGATAGTTTTTGAATAGGTCTATCTCTGCGTGTGTTTTGGCTTTTCCCAAATGCAGCCAGGCAAAACCTCCCTTCCCTCATTCGGCTTTTTATCCCATGCCTTTGCCCTCTCTGGCATCAACAAAAATTATTGGAGCGTGGAAACTGCCCACTGAGAAAGCTTGATGCTTATCTGCACAGCTCTTCCCTGCCAGGCTGAAGGCTGCCTATCGAAGAACTGACATAGGCTCTATTGTAATTCTGGAAGCTTCCCCCGCTCTTTCTTTAATAGTCTTGAAGATTAAGGACAATTTTATAGTTCTTTCCAAGCCTATTGTCTCGATGGCAGAATGCAAGCTGTTTTCCTGACTATATCCTAAAGTTCTCTCTAGCTCTTGCTTTAATGAGCAGTCAGCTTGGCTGAGAGCCACTTTGGGTCCTATGCAGATTCTTGCCTTTGATGGAATATTCCCCTCTATCAAATAATAACCTGCCCGGTAGAAAAATCATCATTAGGAAGAAGAATGCTAGGTTAACTTTGCCCCGGTCTTGTTTGTTTTCTGTATGCAAAGATTGTTCATACTGTATTGCAGTATCTGGTCATGGTTGAAGCAATGTCTGAAACATACAGTTTATGTAAGGGGGAGGCTATATAAATTAAACAAGCAGATAAATACATCCCGATCCCTACATTCTGATGATGTCTTAAAGTATATCATTTTATCCTAGATCAGCTACCAGAGCATTGAATCCTTTGACCCAGCAGTCAATGTGCCTGGCCCACGACGCACCGTCTCCAAGCTCCGAAATGAAACTTATCATGTTTTCTCCAACCTTCATCCTGGGACAACCTACCTTTTTTCAGTAAGAGCACGAACTGGCAAGGGCTTTGGTCAAACTGCTCTGACTGAGATCACCACCAACATCTCAGGTAGGTTGGGAGAAGAGAAATGCATTCGTTTTCTGCAGCATGTTGGTCTCATTCAGAATCAAGGAGTGTTTGAGTGTAATTGCTCAGTACTAAAAATATCCCTTATGATGATCTGGAATGGCTTCAAAGGTAGGAGATAGGATTTCTAGATGAAGTTTTCAGATGAAAGCATTTGTATTCTCACTTTCCTAATTACACTCAACACCCTCCATGGCTGCTCTCACTTCTAATCTGGAAAAAAAAAACCATGGGAAGTGTTCCCTTAGAATGTATGAAACATGAGATCCAAGCTGGCTACAGAGCACAGCAAAGATACTTGTGCTGTGAAAATATAGCCTTAAGACCCATCCTTGGAGATTTCATCCTAAATACATACAAATACACCCATGAGAATTACAACAAGATATTCTCCCCTTATGGGGTGGGGGGTGAAGGAAAGAATACAAAACAGTCTCTTTTTTTCTCTTCAAGTTAAAAGTAAACCATTTTTAAAAACTGAGAAGAAATTTGTCATCAGAATATAGTTTTTTTTATGTGTTCTTGCAATACTGGTGCTTCACCATATGGCTTCCATCTGATACTTGGCATTTTAGTGAGGATTGTACTGAAAAACAATATTTTCACACTGTATAATCTATACAAGGGTTTCCCAGTGTGGCAATGTTTAAGACATGTGGACTTCAACTCCCAGAATTCCCCAACCAACATGACTGCTAGGGAATTCTGGGAGTCGAAGTCCACATGTCTTAAACGTTGCCATGGTTGGAAATATATTATGAGTATGTTATATTGTATGCAAAAAAAATGGGAGCTACCAATGTGGTATACATTGGCTCCTATAAGTTTTCATCTTTCTCAGGATTGATATCTTTAGCCGTTTCACTGTGAGTCCTGACTGTTGTTAAATGTTTATGCTCCAATCTTGATCCCACTGAAATTTCACCCACCAAATGATAGTCCTTTCAGATGTCCATCAACACACAAAACCTCTTCCTCATTACTATTGCTCTTAATACCTTTCCAAATAACTAAAATAGATTCAGATAGCTCTTCCTCTCTTGGATGCCATTTACACTTATCTGATTGCAGTTAAACAATGCATTTCAGCATTGAGATGTGAAAGAGTAGGTTGAGAGATGGGAAAGATTCATTATCTCTTCTAGCTTGTTATTTTTCCCTGTTCAATTTTATCCCTGTTGGAAGGAATTTTCACAGTGACACCAGCGCATAGAAGTCCCTTCTCTGGAAATAAGGAAGCGAGGGATGGGTGGGGGACAGACTTAAAACTGTGCAGAAGACTGCAATGAGTAGTGAACTTTCTTGAAGGGTTTCTCTTAAACAGCAACACTGAAAGTTTGTGAGAGCTCCATAAATAGTAATTTATTACGAGGCAGGTTAAGGGCCTAGCACAGGTTTCAAGGTGAAAAAAATTGGAAAGTTCTACATCTAGGTTAACATCACATGAATATTTATGTATGTTTCATGATCACATGAAGTACTGCACTGGTAAGATCACACTCGGAACACTATATCCAGTTTTGGTCACCACAATATAAAGTGCAGAGAAGAGCAACAAAGAGAATTACGGGGCTGGGGGCTAAAATGTATGAAAATGGTTGCTGGAACTGGGTATGTTAATTTAATGAAGAAAAGGACTAGGGTGACATGATAACAGTCTTCCAATATTTGAGGGGCTGCCAAAAAGAAGAGGGGGATAACCTGTTCTTCAAAGCACCTGAGGATAAAATAAGAAGTAATGGATGGAAACTTATTAAAGAGAAATCCAATCTAAATAAAGAAGAAATTTCCTGATAATGAGAACAATTAATCAATGGAACGGGTTGCTTCCAGCAATTGTGGGTACTCCATCACTGGAGGTTTTCAAGAAGAGATTGGACAGCCATTTGTCTGGAATGGTATGGGGTCTCTTGCTTTAGCAGTGGATTGGTCTATAAGACCTCCAAAGTCCCTTCCAATTCTGTTATTCTGTAATTCTGTAACAGAGCATACAGAAGATCCACTTCATTGACCAAAAGATAATGTCACATCAACAACATCTAACTAGAGAAAGAGTAGTTTACCAGCAAGCCAGTCCTCTTTTGATTGCTTCAAAGGAAGCTTAGGATTCAAAATTGCTTCTCTTGAGTAAGGTCTCAGGCTATCAGCTATATAAAATGTCTTGGGTTTCTTTGAATTTATGCCTGTAATCTATTTTGGGAGGGTGCAATAATCTGGAACCATAATGCATCTAATCAGGGTTTAAGGATGTGCAGTTCACAATAAATCTGTTCCATTTTGCAGTCTCTGTGGATAGGGCAGTCTTTCCATCTGCTGGGTATTTGATAGATTGTTATTTTATTTGCAACTCTCACTGCTCTACAACATTTTTGAGAGAGAGCAGTGGGGATTGGGGAAATGGCTATGATGGTGAAAAAAGCCTGATATGTTGGATAGCTGAATATATTCTCAGTAAAGCATTTTTTTTCTCAGTTTCACTTTTCCTAAGCAATGGTAAAAATGCATATTTTTATTCCAGGTAATACTATCAGAAACACCTTTTTTTTAAAAAAAAATGTCCCGTATTGTTCAGCGAAAGATGCATACTTGTGTGTTGCATTTAACATCAATCTCTGTGATACGGCTATGGTGCTTGTTGTGTCCTGAGCCTGCAAAAGCAGGCTCAGGACGTTGCTTTGGTTCCGGGCATTCCAAAAGCTGCCCGGGACCAGCTGAGAGGCGCATGCCATTGTGTCCAGGGCACAATTGTTGCCATTGTGTCCGGGGCTCTGGGCAGATAAAGAGAGGCCTGTGTGCCGTTGCTCATTGTTGTGGTTTTGCTGTTAAATGAATAAAGAGCTGTTAACTGCACAATGAGTCTTCATCATTTGCCCACGATCAAAGGACTTAACACTGGCGATGAAGGTGGGAAGATTTACAAGCTGAAGAAAGAAAAGCTGTAAAGACTTACCCAAGAAGTCCTGAAGAGGGGAAGACGGCATTGGAATCAGCGTCCCAGCCTGCCAGTATAGCGTCGCTGGAGGGTGAGCTCGGCTGAAAAAAACCCTTTCCCCAATAGAAATTGTAGAGGAGTGAGTGGTGAAGGTTGTAAATACAGGATGGCAAAGATTGGTCGTTTATCTGAATTTGATGTCTCACACCCAGAGAGATGGGAATCCTACATTGCCAGGGTGGAGAATTACTTCAGGGTAAACCAGATTAGAGAAGATGGCTTGAAATCTGCAACCCTGTTTTGTGTCTGTGGCCAGGAAACTTTTGAAATTGCAGAGAACCTGGTGGCCCCTGCACCTCTGGAGTCAGTAACGTATACTGACTTGAAGAAACTGCTAAAGGAACATTTCCAACCCAAGTTGTCTGTTATTGCACGGAGACACATGTTTGAGCAAAGGGACCAGAGGGCAGGTGAATCTGCTAAGGACTTTATTGCAGCCTTGAGGAAAGCAGCCAGACCGTGTGAGTTCAAGGATTTGGAAGAGAGGCTGCGAGATTGCTTTGTATGCGGTCTAAGGAACAGAGACTTACAGCAGAAGATTTTTGCAAAAGAAGATGTCTCTTTCCAAGATGCTCTACGAGAGATGACAGCTGAGGAAGCAGCAGGGGGGCAGTAAAGACTTTGCGGCCCACCAGGAGCCCTCCAGAGACAGCCACTGTCCACCAAGAGGACGCTCGAGATGGTTCAGAAGCAGATCCTGAAGAAGAGGTGGATAGGCTTTATCAGACAGATGAAAGGAAGCAGAAGGAACGTCCAGACAAGGCTCCAGCTGCTCTCCAATACTTTGGGTGTGGAGGATGCCACAAGTGAGCTGACTGCAGGTTCCACTCCGCCATTTGCAGAGCATGTGGCAGGCAAGGCCACATTGCATCCATCTGTTTGGGTCGCCGAAAGGTCCAACCATGTGAAGAATTGCGTCTGAAAGATACCAGGGTCCCCAGCCAACATAGGGTGGTTTCTGCACATCGTGCAGGAATATTTTAAGGACAGGCACACATAAAGCCCTAAAGAAGAAACTGTCCATTAAAGTAAGGTTGCAAGGGGTTCCTTTATCCATGGAGTTGGACACTGGGTCCACTCTCTCCATTATTTCAATTAACACATTCAAAAGAATTTGCAACAGCAGCGGCCTTCGAGCCAAACTCAGGCCATCCAATATAATACTCACAGATTTTCAGAATTCTAGGGTGTGTGTTAAGGGGGACGCCACCTTTAAGGTACAGCACAAGGATTTTGAAGGTCCCCTAGATGTGGTGGTTGTTGGGGGTGAATGCATGAGTCTTATTGGACTCGATTGGTTCGAGGCTCTGGGAATCCAGGTTACTGGGCTGCATCATTTGTAAACGGTGAGCCTGGCAGAAGTCTGCGAGGAGTTTACAGATGTGTTTAGTTCAGAGCTTGGATCCTAAAGGGGCCTCCAGTTGCACTATGGCTAGACCCAGCCATCACGCTCATCAGGGTTAAGCCTAGGAGGGTACCTTTCGCCCTCAAAGGCAAGATTGATGCTGAACTGGACAAATTGCTCCAGCAGGGCATTTTAGAACCTATAGACTCAAGTCCATGGGAAACCCCCATAGTAACACCTCTAACGGCTAATGGGGACATACGTATATGTGCAGACTACAAGTGTACACTGAACAAGGCGCTGCAGCAGCACGCTTATCCAGTGCCTGTAGTAAGTCACATCCTGGCCTCCCTCGGGGGGGGGGGGGCGCATTTTTGCGAAGCTTGACTTGGCACAAGCCTATCAACAGTTACTTGTTGATGAGGCCGCTGCTGAAGCCCAGACTATTGTAACTCATAGAGGAGCCTTCAAGGTCAAGAGACTGCAATTTGGAGTAAATGTAGCCCCTGGCATATTCCAGAGTGTCATGGAGAGTACACTTAGGGGTATTCCTGGAGTCTGTCCCTATTTTGATGATGTCCTGATTGCTGGAGAGTCATCTCAAAATTTAGCAGAGAGATTAAGGGTTGTCTTGCTTCGTTTTCG